TATTTTGAGAAGCTTGAAGTCAAGTGCGCATAATAGAAGAATAAAAAACCGTTTTGCGGAGTTCCGTAAGGTTGCGTGTGACCTCGGTTTAACGAGAATCGAGTTGGAGCATGTAGACAATTCAAGCACGATTCCATACGGATAAATTTCACATTTTTCAGAGTTCCGAGCATTTGTTATGAGAGTTTCAATTTCTGCGTTAAATAGTATCAAAATGAGCAAATTTGTCGAGGACGAGTTCGATCGTTCGAGGCTTCGTTTTCTCAATTTTTTCAGCTTTTCGTCTATTCGAAAGGAGGTATTTATTATTATAATTGAGTCCGAGATTTTTATTAGTATAAATTCGAATATTTTTCAAGTTAAAACAATTCAGTTTAAGTATACCAGTTTAATTCTGGACTTAATTTGATTTTTAAAAAAATCTCTAGAGTATTCCTTTATATCTTGCGAAAATTTTTGAGAGCGTTCACAAAAGCCCTTTGAGCGCCTTTCCGATGCCGGAGTGGGGGTGGTGCGCCGCGGGATGGTCGGAGTGAGGGTGGTGCGCCGCGGCAAATTGGGCCCTCCCCGGGATGACTGGCTGGTTTCGCCACTGCTCATAATAGTAGAGGACACTATACATATCTCAACTAAAATTGCTTTCTTGATCAACATCACCAAATTTTGGAAGAAAAAGAATGCTCATAATCGTAGACGATACTATACTTATCTGACCCTAAAATTATTAGCATCTCCAAATTTTCATTATAATTCAGTTCAAAATGCAGTCTAAATTTTTTATGTTTAGAGTGTTTATTTGTTATTTTATGTAGTGATTATATTTTTTTTGGGTGTTGGGTGTTTTCTCGTGCATGGCAGGGTTATTGGTGTTTAGGGGTGGGGGTGGTAGGGTTGTAGAGTTTCTTTTCGCGTTTTTTGTCTTCTTTTGTTGCTTTCTTTGGTTTGTTCTTTACAGGCTTGATGATCATGGATTCCAAATCAGTCGTTATCAGTAGTTCGACCGGTTTAGCAGAGAAGTTAAGAAGTCGGTTGAAGAAGATAGCTCTTCCGCAATTTGAGAAGAGAGTTATTGAAATTGAAGTAGAAGTTATTTACTTGGTTAGTATAAAAAAAAATATATATATATTTATCCTCCTGTGAGTCGTTCAATACATGCGAGATGTACTAATGTAATCTATTAGTGTAAAACAATATTTATCTTCCTGTGGGTCGTTCAATACATGTGAGTCCTTATAAATGCAGAAAACCCTTGTTGAAAGACTCACCCATCATTGACAAGTGTACGACTCGGATCGACCAACGAATTAGTCGCGACAAAACTTCGAATACCATGACTGCCTACCGAAAAACAAAGAAAAATATGGCTTAAGGACAAACGTTCTTTCATATTTTATATAGTTTTGAGTTACTTTTTATAAACTTTCGTGGTCAAAGGTTATGATGTCAATTTTTTTTTTGTCTTGCTAAGGTTATTTGAACTAAATACCTCGAAATAATCTGACTTAATAATGGCTAATGATGTGGTTCCCATCTACAGTTCCCATCTACCATGCAGGTGCTTTATTGACAAAATATGTGGGCTCAAGGGGTTGAAGACCAACAAAGCGTTCTCGTGTTTGTTTTTGTTTCAGTAAAATCCCCATATTCTGGCCTAACTCACTGAGTCATAAAATATGGGATTTGGTAGATTCGCTTCTGCCTTTTCTATCCTATGGTTATTCTTCAGGCCTTCCATTTTTGCCCAAGAACCCTGTAAGGATGATGAGTCGCTTGTTCTTGCCTTCTTGCAGAAAATGGGCTTAAACCCTTCTCAAGAAAACAACTCATTCTGCTTAGGAACAAGAATCTCCTATGATGCCATGGGAAAATATATCGTGATGTTGGATTTTTCCGATGTGGGTTTATCGGGTGACGTTCCTGATAAAACCATTGGGAGGCTTTCAAACCTTGAATCTTTGGATCTTAGCAGTAACAATATCGCTTCTTTGCCGGGTGATCTCTGGAGCTTGCGCCGTCTAAAAAAGCTTGATCTTTCGTTTAACAACATATCTGGGTTTATACCCAATGGCGTGGGCAAGTTGGTTCATCTTCAAAGCTTGGACCTTTCTTTCAACCATTTTCATGGCAGTATACCTGAAGCTATAGGCTCCCTTGTCAAGCTGCAAGCTCTAAATCTCAGTAACAATCAACTTGATTCGGATATACCGTTGCAAATTCTGAAATGCAGGTACTTGGTGTATCTTGATCTCTCATCAAACACCCTCACTGGCCCTCTTCATAATGGTTTTGGGGCTGCATTTCGAGAGCTGCAGTTCTTGAACCTGGCTGGGAACCGTATTACGGGCAGGGCTTCGGATTTAGTCGGCCTCAAGTCGATTCGAGTTTTGAATATCTCTGGGAATGTCTTCAGGGGTTCTGTGGTGGGTGTTTTCGAAGGACTAACTGAGGTGATTGACGTGAGCAAGAACCGTTTTCAGGGTCTTATGGGTCAGCTGAGATCAAACTCCACATTCAACTGGTCGAATTTGGTGTATTTGGACATATCTGGGAATCAGTTCAGTGGGGTGTTTTCGACTCGCATTAGTCTTTTCGCTGTGAATCTCAAGCACCTCAACCTTGCACACAACAGATTTGCAAAGCAACCGTTCTTGCGAGTTGACATGTTCTCCAATTTAGAGTACCTCAATCTGTCAGGAACCAATATGATTGGCCCTATCCCCAGCAATATCTCGTTTTTAAGAAGCTTGAGACTTCTTGATCTGTCCCATAACAATCTCACCGGCCGAATTCCGTTGATTCCTACAGCAAACCTTAAAGTCCTCGACCTTTCTTACAATAACCTCACCGGAAACATCCCCTATACGCTCCTGCAACACCTCCATAACTTGACGACATTCAATTTTTCTTACAATCAGTTGAACGTCTGCATCGGCCTCTATAACTCGTCTTTTGTCGGGCTTACTAAAAGCTGTCCTATAGCCGTCGACTCCTCTGTTTTCCGGAAGAAATCTCCGAACCACAAAGCTCTGAAGCTGGCTCTGGTCTTAACCGTCTCATTGTCCTGTCTCGTCTCGGGCCTTCTCCTCGTAGCCTTCGGGCTCTGTTACCAATCCAAACGCAACCCTGCTAACGAGGAGCAGCCGGCCGTCTCGGGTCCGCTTGCGCCCCAGACGAGTCCTGCCTCGTGGGCTGCTAACATCCGGCAGGCCCCATCCGTGCCTGTCGTGATTTTCCACAAGCCGCTGCTCAACCTCACGTTCGCAGACCTCCAGCAGGCGACCTCTGGCTTCGACCGTCACACGCTGCTGGCCGAGGGCCGACTGGGGCCTGTCTATGGCGGGCTGCTTCCGGGCGGGCTCCACGTAGCAATCAAGGTCATGGCCCGTGGACCCACCGCGTCCGACCAGGAGGCCACCCAAGAGCTCGAGCGCCTCGGCCGGATCCGACACCCCAACCTGGTCCCGCTAGTGGGTTACTGCCTAGCTGGCGAGCGGAGGATTGTGATTTACGAGTACATGGAAAACGGGAACTTGGAGAGCCTGCTTTACGATCTGCCTCTAGGTGCCCGGACAAGTGAGGATTGGAGCAATGAGGCGTGGGGGCATGAGGGCCCACTGGTGACGTGGGGGTTCAGGTACAGAGTGGCGCTGGGGACGGCCCGGGCCCTCGCATACCTCCACTACGGTTGCTCGCCACCGATCGTCCACAGGGACCTGAAGGCAAGCAGCGTGTACTTCGACTCGCAGCTTGAGCCGAGGCTGTCAGATTTCGGGCTTGCTGGGATCTTCAGGAGCGGGCCTGAGGACGAGAGGGGTAGGGGATATGCGGGCCCTGAGTTTTTCGGGACCGGGAGCAGCTCGCCGGTGGAGGCGACCAAAAAGTCGGACGTATATGGATTCGGGGTGATTCTTCTGGAGCTGATCACGGGGAAAAGGCCTGTCGGGGATGAGTGGAGGGGAGGGGATTTGGTGAGTTGGGTGAGAGGATTGGTTCGGAGTAATGAAGGGTGGCGGGCGATTGATGTAAGAATTAGTGGAACGGGGCCTGACGAGAAAATGGTCGAGACCTTGAAGATTGGATATCTATGTACGGCTGAGGTCCCATCGAAGCGGCCCTGTATGCAGCAGGTTGTTGGTTTACTGAAGGATCTTGAACCTGTTGAACAATAAGAAAACGAGATGTTTACCCTGTTTTTTTGTTACCTCAATTGTTTTGATGATACTTGTATTTTACGGGCTCCAGTAAAACTATGAGAGATTGTATGCCAGTTGTTTCTTGTTTCTTGCGGCTGTTTTCCTGCTCATCTTGTTATTCAATATAATAATACGTTCCAGAAGCTGAGTTGTGAAGCGAGTTGTGCTATAAAATAGTTTGCATTTTGTTTATTTTGTGAAGCGAGTTGTGCTTTCCAGAAGTTGGTTATGTTTACCGGTTGATAGTTGACAGTTGATAAAAATGTATACGCATTTACTGAATTGATAAAGTAGAATGATACAATAGCTAGCACATTGATAAGAAAGGTTGAGCAACTCTACGGCTCAGTTCCATTTGGATGGTGAATTGAGAATGTTTGGGAAAAGGTAAGCTGTTCTTGGGCAACTTGTTTTTATATTATTTTTGCTTTGGAGTTAGGTTTGGTATTAGACATAAAGAATTTTACACATATATTAATTAACTCAACACTCATGTTGTACATGGATATTACTACTAGTAGGAACTGAAACAAGTTGTGTCCTATGTTTCTTATAGAGAACGGTTTTCTTATTTGCCAGAGCGTTGTCCCTCTGCCGGAAGGCCTCGTCATCCGCCGGTCGCCGTCGCTGTCCTCCAGCGAACGGGTTCACCTCGATGACGGTGTCTTCATCATCCTCCGCGCAACCCGCCGCGTACGGCCCGGTCGCCGCCATCGCGTCTCGCACGCGTCTCCTCCAGCAAGGTAGACATAGCCTGGCGAATCTCCTCGATCCCCGAAGAGAGGTCCGTAAATCAATCGTCCACTCCTTGGAATCGCTCTTCCATTCATTGGAAACGCTCGTCAACGTTATCTCTCTTAGGCGGCATCGTGGATCGTCGCTGGTCTCTGGATACCAACTGATGTAGAACGTGATACGAAAGGGAAAGAACGAGATACTCTCTCGAAGAATTCACTCAATATCAGATAAAACTCCTCATAATCTGTCTGGCTTCGTCGTAGTCTCACCAATAAATAATAGGGAAAGAGTCCTATTCTAGTATTTTGCCTAACATGTTGCAAGATATTTATTTTAATTACCTAAAATAAAAGTAAATAACATAATAAGCAGATTATTAATAAAAGACTTAAACTCGAAGCCTGTCGTATTTATTCAAAAAGGCGATCGCGATCTCGTCTCCATCATCCTCTCCCGGTTGGGAAGGATTCGACCTCGAATCCGAACCGGTCTCGTCTCTGTCTGAGTTGTCGCCCGTAAACGGTACCAAATGCTTGACGTTAAAAACGTCAGACGTACGAATATGAGACGGAAGGAGAAGGCGATAAGCATTGGGGTTGATCTTCTCAACCACTTCAACCGGCCCAATCGTACAAGCAGACAACTTATTATACTCATGAGCCGGGAACCTGTCTCTAGTCAAAACAGCCCAAACAAATTCACCTACCTCGAACTCCACATGCCGACGACGAGTGTCCGCCCGGTTCTTGTACGCAACCGTCGAGACCTCAAGACGAGCCTGAGCCGTCGCATGCGTGGCTTGCAAGTCGAAGATGAGGTCGGCAGCCCGACGATCAACCGCAGTGGTGGCCGGCAACGCGAGCAGGTCTGCGGTGCCCCGGGCTGAACCGCATACACAGTCTGAATTGGTGAAAGCCCGGTGGCCCGACTCACGACAGAATTATGTGCGAATTCCGCCTGGCTCAAACGTTGGTCCCAACTCCGAAGGTTATCCCCCACCAAACAACGAAGCAGGTTGCCCAACGAACGGTTCACCACCTCTGTCTGACCATCCGTATGGGGGTGATAGGCACTGCTAAAATCCAGACGTGTGTTTGCCATGCGGCACAGGCTACGCCAGAAGTGACTCAAAAACCGAGTATCCCGGTCCGAAACAATCGAAGAAGGAAGACCATGAAGGCGGTAAATCTCGCGAAAGAATAACAGGGCCACATGCAGTGCATCCGTCGTATGCTTGCATGGAACGAAATGGACCATCTTCGAAAAACGATCCACCACGACGAAAATAGAGTCAAATCCCCGTTGTGTACGAGGTAATCCCAAAACAAAATCCATACTCACCGCCGCTCAATGGCTGGGAAGAATGGGCAACGGGCGATACAACCCGGCATTAGAGGCCACCCCCTTCGAAACATGACACACACGACATCGACCCACGAAACGGGCAACATCACACCGAAGTGATGGCCAGAAGTACGATCGGCTCACCAGCTCCACCGACCGATCACGCCCTACGTGGCCGGCGCCATGAAGCTCCGCGATCAGGCGCAGACGGAGGCTACAATTGGGAACACAAAGTCGAGTGCCCCGAAAAATAAACCCATCCGTCAAACTGTAATCCTCAAACGAAGCAGACTCAAGGCGGCGCACAATCGGCCTGAAGAAGGCACCATCGCAGTAGACTTCACGCAAAACATCAAAGCCCACGACAACAACCCGTATATCCGTCAAGAGAAGTGTGCGACGACTCAATGCATCGGCCACCCTATTCGAAGCACCCGAACGATGGCGAAGAACAAACGTGAACTGCTGCAGGAAAGCCGTCCACGACGCATGTCGGGCAGAAATATTGTCCTGGGTCGCAAAATTTCGCAAAGCCTCGTGGTCTTTGTAAAGTATAAACTCGCGAGGAAAGAGATAATGCCTCCAATGACGAACGGCCCGAACCACCGCAGAGAATTCCACATCATAGGTGTTGTACTGAGCACGGGGGCCCGACAATTTCTCGCTAAAGAATGAAACCGGACGACTGTCTTGGCTGAGAACAGCACCAATCCCAACTTTCGACGCATCATAGGAAAGCTCTAAAGGCCTAGAAAAATCCGGTAAGACCATAATAGAAGCCGAGCACAACTTATCCTTAATCCAAGTAAAGGCAGCCTCTTCCGTCGGTGTAATATCCCGATATTTTATTAGTATAAATTATGTTTTAGTTCCGATATATTAATATTGGCGAGTATTAATTTTCGGAATTAATTATTTTCAGTCAAGATTACCGAAAATTATTTTCGACGTATCGTTTACGTTCGGAATAATTTTGGTAATTAAGTATTATGCTTAAAAGTTAATTAAGCATAATTAAGTAATTAATTAAATATTAATCACCTCTTAAGGCATTAAAGCCGTGGGGAAAGCAAATAATTTTGACTCAATTTTGGTCAAAGCCGTACAAATTTTTCCACCACATTTATTCTCAATTTCCGAAGAGCAATTTGTATGATTTAAACCATGTATTATGACATGCAATTATTGATGAGGTGGCAAGTTTTGAGGGGGATTAGTCATCCTAAATCTCCATTTAATCTACAAGTGTCATTAGCTCTTTTAAACACCAAATCACCTCATAACCTTCACTTCCATTCGGTGGGTATATATGAGTAGGAATTGGAGAATTTTTTTGCCTATCATTCTTCATCTTATATATCCCACATAAAGTATAGAGAGAGTAGAAAGGCTCAGCAATTTCCTAAGTTAGCACATAGTACTCATGCCCGAGCTACCGCAAGCTTAGCTATCGTACGCACAGCCGCGCCGTAAGCACCGTTCACGAGCATCGTGCACGCACGAGAGTTTGAGTAGGTGTAACGTTGTGCAAGTAGGCAAGCAATCAGAGAGGTATTTTTCAGCTCCCTTATTGTAAGGTTATCAATTGTATCATGTGCCGTTATGCCTTGATAGTAAAGTTCTTATGGTAAACCTTAAGATGCATTCGGTCGTGCATGTATTCAACGAGCATGTCTTTGTTTTACCTGAAATCTTCCGAACAATTCTATGTATTCGGTCCTTCCATGATTTATTATGTTCAGTCAGTCCATATTGTTCAAAGTATGTTCATGTTTGTTCGGTTAATTAGGCCGAGAGGCGTGGTCGCGCACATAGTGCACCACGGGCCACGCATGTAAGTCGAGTATGTCAAGTTGAAGTCCATCGAGTACCTTGTGTTATCTTATTTAGTAAATATTGCTCATATTCAGTTGAGGATGTTTTGCCGAGGGAAAAGGTTGAAACGGTCGAGAGATGGCCTATAGCCGTCGGCGGCGCACGGCGCGCTCGCCACGGCCTCGTTCAGTTGATCGTGCGAAAAGTTTATATTTTCAGTGATTACAGGTTATGTTAAGTGAGGTTAGAATGCACGGG